GTGGGATCTGACCACGGAGAGTATGATCCGGACGATCTGGACCTCCCTGCCTCCCGTCAAGCGACCATAGCCACCGCTGCTACAACGACTGGACTGCCAGCAATCACCCCTTGCATTCGCGTGTCTGCCATGTTAGAACTCAAAGAGTTCGCGGGGAAGGACGACGACGAGAATCGCGCGCGGGCTTGGATCGGCAAGGAGAAGTCAGCTTTCGTCCGAGATCAGGCCCCAGACGACGAGAAATGTTTGGTGCTTGGCGGCCTGTTCACTGGATCGGCGCGCAACTGGTACCGACAACTTAGCCGGACAACGAGGAGCGACTGGAAGAAACTTCTGCGCGAATTCCAAGTGCAGTTTTGTGGATTCGGAGTATCTGTCGCAAGACAGTACTACCATGCGAGGAAGCGCGCTGACGAGACGCCGCTGGAGTACCTGCACCACCTGAAAGTCGCAGGACTGAGGGCGAAGCTGCGCGTGAAGAGCGGCCCGTCGGACATTTGCCGCGAGCACGTGGAATATTTCATCGAGACCCTGGACGACCGCGATCTGGCCGGCCAGCTCGCGCTGCTGCGTATCTCCGATGCTGATGCGTTGGAGGAAGTCTTACGGGCGAGGCAACGTGCGACGAACCGTCAGGGACGAGCACAATTCGGATCGAGCAAGTATCGACAGAAGGCCGCTAGTTCCGACGCCACGAAGTCGGCTCCAACGCGTAAGGTGCAAGCTGTTATGGCCACGAACCAGTCGGACAGCAACAGTGAGCGGATCGGAATCAAACGGTGATCTGCGCCTGATCTACTTAGCCGCAACAGAAGGAGAGCCGCAACCCCAAGCGACTGCTCTGAATGAGCCCGATCGAACCGTGTCTGGCCATGCTCCGCCACCGCGAGCCTCTGGCCCAGGTCAGAGATCTCCTCATGGACGCCCTCAATTCCAGCGCTGAACTCACTGCGGTTCGCACCGCCATGACGACCTGCACTGCTGGAAGCGGCTAACGTGTCAGCGCTGCGGCAAGAGAGGCCATCCCTGCCTCTTCGTCTATCGCGGCTGCGGCGAGATCCACGACGCCGGCAAATGGCAGATGGAGGAGTTCTACAACTTGATCCGTCAATGGTACGATCCTGCCAAGAAATCTG